GGCAGCATTTTAGCAAAATCATTATTTGGTGCACTTGTTTTGATTTATGAAGATAATATGATTAGTAAAGAATAAATTGGTGTGTGCCCTGATGACATAACCAGACGTGTGATGGCTCCCACTCAGCTACTTGCTTTGTGAGGACTCAGTCGGCACATATAGCGAGTGTTCCTCAGACTTGTCCTTGATATTTAATAATCAGGCTTCTGACTTCTGTGCATTTTGGCATCCTGGCTCTCATCTGCTATGTATTCTGCAGTTTATCCCCTAAAGCCTGGGTTGCCAGGATCGCTCAGGATCTTTTGACAAGATCCCGTAATGATCTCTGTAGTGCAGGGCTTGAAAAATTTGCTGTGAATCTAGGAGCCAGCTAAAACAGTTAGGAGCCAGGTTTTTTTTTTTTTTAGTGGTCAGCAAGATTAATTAAGAACTTCAAAGTAGAATTGGTGGACCATTAACTGATCTTTTAAATCATCTAGGTTCTCATCTCCCATAATGGGAGACAGCTAATTGAACCTATTTATTATTAAAGGGTATCAAGGGGCAGCCACATGCCAGTTTAATTACTGTAAAATTAATGAAATTTGTGTCTAAGGAGAATCAGTGATCATTTAAAAACACAGCTTGCTGGACTCAAAACAACATGGGCTCATTGAGGGCCGAACATGGTAGGCTAATCTGATTGAATTTTCTGACTGTATCACAGTCAAAAGGGTGAGAGTGATGCTGTGAGTGTTTTATTTTTTTCAGGTACCTCTATTGCGCCCCAATTTACGCAGCGATTTACATAAATATATTGTACATTCACATCAGTCCCTAACCCTCAAGGGGACGTATAATCTAAGGTCCCTAACTCCCATTCATACACACTTACTAGGGCCAATTTAGACAGGAGCCAATTCACCTACCAGCATGTCTTTGGGGTGTGGGAGGAAACCGGAGTACCTGGAGGAAACCCGCACAGGGAGAACATGCAAACTCCAGGCAGGTGGTGCTCTGGTTGGGATTAAACCAACAACCCTAGTACTGCCAGGTGGAAGTGCTAACCATTTAGCCACTGTGCTATAGCTTGATTTTAGTAAAGTATTTGCACACAAATCGATTTCATAAAAACATTGTACAAAGTAGGACCAAGCTCTTGGGTTCAGTGGATACAGTTTGCTGAAGCAGCCTTTTTCAGCCAGGGTGCCTTCTGGGTTTCTCAGGGATGCCTTGACAAAATTCCTAAAAAATTGCCAAAAAAAAAACTGTCAGCAGGCCAGCGGGTGGATTCAGCCTACCTTTTTTTTTTTTTTTTTTGTAACTTGCGCAAAGCCACTGTTTTTTATGGTGTGTTATTACAACCTTAAAGTGGATCTCCTAGATTGTAAGCTCCAAGGATCAGGCCCACCTATCCCTCCTTGTATTGAGCTGTATTGTTGCTGTATTGTCTCCAGTTATATTGTAAAGCGCTGAGCAAACTGTATTGGCGCAATATAAATCCTGTATAAATATAACTGCACTGCCTCTGAGCATCACAAACCAAAAAATGCTATTTAATTCAGCTTTAATATTCAAAGCAAAATCCATGTCTCCGTGCTTGATTTTGCAGAGAAATAATTTTGAAAAACACCCCCTAGCATTTCTGGCTGTGGCCATCTTGCGTAAGGGCAGATGATTCATGTATCATTTACTTCCTGGAATCCTTAGCTCAGGTATAGGCTGAGCTGAGAACCCTCCTCTCCTGAAGACTCCTGGATGTATGACATCATTTGCCTAGGCATGGAAACCAAGAAGTAATTATGATATACTTTCCTACCTATTTTCTAATGCTAGCAACATGTGGATTAAAAATAGTCCATGTTGATTGAGAAAGTGCTTTAATAACAATAATAGAGCCTCTGCACTGCTATTCCTACCTGTTACGTGCTCTTATTTTGAAAGCAGCTTCCACTAAAATTGTGCTTCAAATATTACAAATAACAATACTACATTTACAATATATCCAGGATAAGACCTAGGACAAAATTCATAAACTTAGTATGTGCAATATTGAGGAAAGTAGGGACGGGGGAGCATGGCTGAAACCTTTTTGAACACATTAAGGCCCAACTCCAGGAATTCGTAAAAATCTACCCTTGCAGTGCCCCCTCCTCACTACAGGGGTTAAATTCTTGTTGTGTTTCGGAGGTGCAGGAACACTCTGTATTTTCTATCACTGCACTCTTCTCCCCAAAGCTCCTTCCTGTGGTCAGTCTTGGAATGGACATGTACAGTGCGGGGCGTTGAACCAATCAAAAATACACTAAAGTTCATTTTGGTGCACACAAGTCCAATTTGTTACCCAATTCTTTGGTAAATTATAAAGGATAAGGTTGTGCCAAGTACCAAAGATGTCAAGCTCTAAAACTGTGCACGCCTATTAAATGACAAGCTTCAGTACCCAAGATTGTCCTTAGGCAATACTTTAAAAGCACGTACATGTTCTCCATTTAGAGCTAACTGTGAATAATGGCCCTAGAATTATTGCTCTCACTCTAGCAATAGAAATCATGTAGTGAAATTGTGGTATTCATGTGTAGCCACACCCGGCGTGTACTAAGGAGGTGGGGGAGCTTTAAAAAATGTTCTTTTTTACATTTTTTTTTTTTTGAAAGGCAGAGTATAGTTTCTTCTGTATATAATAATGCACAAATACACAGTGAAATATCCCATGAAATGCAAAAAGCATTGGTCTCGGGACATAGGCGAAAGGTGATTGGTCAGAGATATTGAGGATGATTCCTACTGTCTCAATATTGACCTTTCCGAGAGTTATTAAGTTATTTATCGTTTATAAAGACACACTGAACTCGCTGTCCACTTTACAGAGCAGGCCTTTGGGTATTCATAAGTGTGCTATATGTGGACAGACCCCGGAAAATTTCATACATCCTATCTGGAGATGTCTTATGTTGGTAAGATGTTATTCAGCACATTAAAGCAATTGTAAACCCTCACCTTGTAAAACAATTCATTCAGTAATGAACGGTAAAACATTTGTGTATAGATAGAAAAACATTAAATACCCTTTTTTTTTTTTTTTTTTTTTTTTCTATTTTTTTTTTATTTTTTTTTTAATAAGTGATCACATTCCCTCTGTTGTCAGCTGCATAAGAGCTAGGGGAGTAGAAAAAGCAGACCCTGATCTTCCTAGTGAAAGGCTGTGCGGAGGAGCAGGGGGTGTCAAGACAAGCCTGATCATTGGAGGAGAGCACAGCCAGAGAACTGAACACACTGTGCTCTCCTGCCTAGCGTGGTCAGTTTTTAAATAGGAAAGCAGAGGGACTGGCAGGAACATCAAGGATTTCACACAAAGGAAGCAATGCACATAGGACAGAATACGTTTTCATGTACTACATGGTACAGCAGGCACATATCAGAAGTATGAAATGTTGGGCTTACATATTCTTTAACCACTTGCCCTCCAGAGGATTTACCCCCCCTTCCTGACCAGGCCGTTTTTTGCGTTGCATCGCTGTGTCAATCTAACTGACAATGCTGCACCCAAATGAAATTTACGTTCTTTTTTTTCCCACAGATAGAGATTTATTTTGGTGGTATTTGATCGCCTGTGCGGTTTTTATTTTTTGTGCTATAAAAAAAAAGACTTGACAATTTTGAGGGAAAAAAAACAGTATTTTTGACTTTTTGCTATTAAACATTTCTAGTAAAAAAATCAAAAAAATCAAATGTCATCTATTTAGACCGAAATGTATTCTGCTACATGTCTTTACTGAAAAAAAATACCAATACGTGTAAATTAATTGGTTTACGTGAAAGTTATAGCATTTACAAATGGCGGTATATATACTGGGATTTTTTTTTTTTTTTAATTTTTACTAGTAATGACTGTGATCATCAACCTATAGTGCGACTATGGGCATTCTGACACAGGAGCTGACAGGGGGGAACTGACTTGGTGTCACTGGCATACCCCAGGGATGCACAGCCATGCAAAGCAGTGTGCAGGAGCTGACAGGGGAGAGAACTGTAATGTTTACAAACAGTTCTACCCCCCCCCCCCCCCAGACCGGCTGAGTAACTTCAGCCAACAGTGGCCTTCAGCCTGATGTCAGCTGAATACAGGCCACAGGAGTGCAGAAGAACCTCACTCTTGTGATCCATAGGAGATGTACAGCCAAAAGAGCTTTGGCTGTATTTCTCCTTTTAATGTACTTACTTGAATACCATAGGATTTGTGGTCGGGATATCAGTTGCGGTTAGTTGTCAGCTGATTGATTTTTTTTTTTTATTTTTTTTCCCCCTTGGGTCACAAAACTCGTCTTTTCTAAGACCTATAGATTTTATAGTTTTACTAGTTGGCAAAAGGCAAACACATTATTAGTAGACTGTTTAACTGAAAGTTTATTGCAGCTGGCAGAAGGAGAATTAAATTATTAACTTGAAAGTAGAGCTGATAAGCCAGGCAGGAAAAGGCCTCCCTTGAACTGGAAATTGTAAATTTTATGGACATAAATATACAGAGCAGTTTTATTGTGACAGGTGAAAACCCATATAATTCAACTCCTACAACTTCAAATTATTGACATGAAAAGTTCCATTAACCTACAATGGATGGTGGATGCTTGTGGAACTTTCATTCACACAGACTTGTGCCCAGTACTTTATTGTGAGATGTTCCCACCATAGTTCTTGGGTTTGCTTCTTGAAGCAGAGAATTTCACTTTTCTTGCTACATCCTCCCTATTCTAAAATAAATATCCAGTAGAGAGCCAGCCTTATGCAGGCCATAGACGGGGAGAAAAACGGCCGATTTTTCTTTTAAAAAACGAAAAATCGGTCGTTCAAGCGGCCGACGTTACCAGCAATGGTAAAAAAAAATCGGCCGATTTTTCATCCCGTCTACAGCCGGCAAAAAGTGTCCCTGCAGAGAGCTCTGCTATTTCTTTGACAGTTCCTTGACATTTACAGCGGTTGCAACATTGTATCTATTTGTATCCATTTAGGATACAGATGTTTTTATTCGGAAACAAATAGATACAATGTTGCAACCGCTGTAAATGTCAAGGAACTGTCAAAGAACTGTCAAAGAAATAGCAGAGCTCTCTGCAGGGACACTTTTTTTTGCCGGACTGGAATTCCTCTTATTTTTCATCTTTCTTCTTCTTCATCTTCATCATCATCATCATCCTCTTCTTCTTCATCATCCTCTTCTTCTTCCTCCTCCTCTTCCTCTTCCTCCTCCCCCCCCCCCCCCCCCCCCCAAAAAAAAAAATACGGAAAAAAACGGGCGAACAATTAGCCCACTAACGATCCGAAAATCGGCCCAATTTATTTTCACCCGAAAAATCAGCCGATTTTTGACCCATCTATGGCCTGCATTAGCTTTGCCTGAAAAAGTCTATAACAGCTGCTTGCACTTAGATCTTGTGACTAAACCAGTTGGGGAGCTTATTGATGTGAGATGACCGTCACCCAGTGCAGCTTCTTTACAGCTTGATTGGTAATAATCTGATTTAGATGGGTCAAGGAGATGTCATTTGTGGGAAGAACGATCAATTAGAAAGGTGGGAGAGAATCTGATTGCTGTCAGCTGCCTTCTGTTCCGTGGGAGCAAGTGTTGGTAGTGTATGACATAAACATGTCAGCATGGCTGTTCAGAGCATATATGTTTATGGAAGAGCCGACTGATAGACATGTCAGAGGGTGGTCATATCACATTTGTCAGTGCTCTTTTATGTAATGTAGCCTGAGAACTATTACAGACTAAACTTGCAAAAAGTTGTGTTTTTTTTTTTTGTCATTATTGCCTGATTATTTTTGTGTAGACAGTTTATGCTGCAAGCTACCTGCTGCTTATGTAACTGTAGAAGTTGATTTTACACTCAACTTTCCATTGCGTTTATGAAGTTAATTTCATCATAAATATTAGTGCAAGTTCTTTGTGGTACTTGGTATAGTCACATCTTTAGGTGAACAGTCCTATACAGAAAGGGGAAACGTTAACAGTGGGTAGCACATTGGCTAAATGGTTAGCACTTCGCCTGGTAGTACTGGGATCGTTGGTTCAAATCCCAACCATAGCACCACCTGTTTGGAGTTTGCATGTTCTCCCTGTGCCTGCGTGGGTTTCCTCCGGGTACTCCAGTTTCCTCCCACATTCCAAAGACATGCTGGTAGGTTAATTGGTTCCTGTCTAAATTGGCCCTAGTATGTATAAATGTGAGTTGGGGATCTTAGATTGTACGCTCCTTGAGGGTTGGAGAATGATGTGAATGTACAATATAGATCTATACATGTAAATTGATGGAACTATATAAGTACCTGTAATAAAGAAATAAACATGCACGTTAGGAATGCCATAGTCAGTCTTTCATCATTCTACCCGTATTACTGTGTCCTGAACTGCAGTTTTATATGTGTGATTAAATTCATTTGAGACAGGACTTTACGGCTGCTTTGCAAAAAGCAAAAGAGTGGACTGTAAATGGTATATGGGTTGCAACAGTGGGCTTTTCCTTTGTGCACGGATGAACTTCAATCATATTACCAGGAACTAACCCTAGGTTCACACCTAAGCGTTTTCCGCAGTGTTTTGAAGAAAAGCACTACAATCCATTTAACATGATTTCCTATGGGACACGTTCACATCTCCGCGTTTTCACTCTGTGCATTTTTTGGAAAGGGTCAGGGAATTTTTTGACCGCAAAAAGCTGCGTTTTTGGTTCTATAGACTTCAGTGGAAACGCTGCAGAAAAGCATGTAGTGTGTTTTTGCTGTGTTTTTGTCGCCTTTTTTATGTTTTCCATTTTAAATCTGCCTAGCAACAAGAAAAAACAAAGCAAAAAAGCAAAACACGGCAAAAACGCAATGCAGAAATGGGTCAAACACAAACTGCATAGGTGTGAACCTAGCCTTAGGGTGTGTTAAGTGCAGGGTAGTCTGGTGCCCTGCATGCATTACTGCTAAATGACAGGCAGAACTTGTGCCAAGGTAAACTTTTCATGTGTGCATTTCATGGCTTATAGTGACTATGTATTGGGGCAAAATGAATTAAAGCAATAATTAATGTAACACTAGCTGTACAGTATTTGTCTTTTATTCAGCCAAAAGGCTGAACAAAAATCACTAACAGGTTCCTCCATCTGCACAAACTAGGTGGATGGAGGCATCCCCCCAGCCAGGACGTTGACAGTAGATGCTGGTGAGCGGCTTCAGCTGCTGATCGAGAAATGTTCCCCAACTTGTCCGACAGAAGTTGATCCAGTGATTGATTTCTGTTGATCGGGGACAGGCACGCACTTACCAAAATTTGGCCTGCAGGAACTTTGATCTGTCTGTGGCCAGCTTTAGTTACATACGGTGCATTCTCTTACTATGCTCTCCTCTGCTGGTGCTTTCAGGTGTTGATCAATTGTGAATGAGGAAAGAAAAAACAGAGGGCGCACAGGCCTAGTGCATTACCATAAAAAATGTTTAATAAATAATAAAGTATGTGTTGTACTCACAAACGACAAGGCTCTGAGGAAGAGGCAAGTCCTCGGAACGCGTCAGCCTTTTGGATGTCTATACTCCCTATTGATGACTGTTACTCAGCGCGGTGTTGACCCAGCTGTTCTGTATGATGTGATGCCTATGTATGATGCCTTGACTATATGGTCGTTTGTGAGTACAACACATACTTTATTTTTTATTAAACATTTTTTATGGTAATGCACTAGGCCTGTGCGCCCTCTGTTTTGTCTTTCCTCATTCAGTATATTTGGATTTCCCCGGTCCATTTGAGGGCAGCAAGGTGTTTATGTTCCAGGACATTTTTAATGTGGTTGTAGCCTGCATCAAGTTCATCCCCAAGCGCAGGAGCATTTGTGTTTGCTGGTTCGTTGATCAATTGTGATACTGATCCTGCTTTCCACAGTGCACTGCTGTATTCCAGAGAATCCAGTCACTTAGTCACCAGGGTTGGGAGTGCATTCTTAATGTTATGTATTTATAGCTAAAATGTTTTTTTTTTTTTTTGGATAGTAGAGTAGTATCAGATTATTTTTTTGCAGTCTGTCCTACTAGGAAGATTTCTTGGAGATGCAGCTTGGAAGTAAGATGAAATCTCCCTGTAATGAGTTTTGCCTTTACAAAGTACTGTATACACAAATACTGACTCAGGGTGATAAGGAGAGAGAACTGATATATTATGATACCTGCTACCAAGATGCAGAATTAATATTTATTTATTTTTTTAAATAATGTTGATTACTAGATTGTCAACATTTTTAGAATTAACAAATGAGCTGTTACATTGTTTTGTAATGTAATTTAACTTTACAATATTTTTTTTGCCACCAGCATTTTTAAGTGCTGTAAAGTAAAAGTTGATTTTACAGGACCCTACTTCTAAAGAAGCTTACAATACAAGTCAAATGCCATAGTAGAAAAACACACTAGGGCCTACTTGAGCCAAAGCCAGCTGTATTAGAGGGGAAAAAAAAGCAATATTTCTGAAGGAATCGTAAGCAAGGGGAGACATTCAAGTTTCATGCTGGAAACTGGTCACCAACATTGTAAAAAGTAACTGTGCCAGCCACTAAGCTGCCACTGGCCTTGGATATTTAACCACTTAAGCTCTGAAAGGTTTTACCCTCTTCATGACCAGGGCATTTGTTTGCTGTTTGGTACTGTGCTACTTTAACTGGCAATTGCATGGTCATGCAACACTGTACTCAAATTAAATTTATATAATTTTTTTCACACAACTATAGCTTTCTTTTCATGGTATTTGATCACCATTGGGTTTTTTATTATATAAAGAAATAGACTGAAAATTTTGAAGAAAAAAAAAACTTATTTTATACTTTGTTATAAAACCTATCCAATAATAAAATCAATTTTCTTCATAAATATCCAAAATGTCTTTGGTAAACGAAAAAATAAATACCAGTAAGTGTATATTAATTGGTTTGTGCAAAAGTTATAGCATCTGCAAACTGAGATAGATAGAGAGAGAGATAGAGATACAGTCAGGTCCATAAATATTGGGACATCGACACAATTCTAACATTTTTGGCTCTATACACCACCACAATGGATTTGAAATGAAACAAACAAGATATGCTTTAACTGCAGACTGTCAGCTTTAATTTGAGGGTATTTACATCCAAATCAGGTGAACGGTATAGGAATTACAACAGTTTGCATATGTGCCTCCCACTTGTTAAGGGACCAAAAGTAATGGGACAATTGGCTTCTCAGCTGTTCCATGGCCAGGTGTGTGTTATTCCCTCATTATCCTAATTACAATGAGCAGATAAAAGGTCCAGAGTTCATTTCAAGTGTGCTATTTGCATTTGGAATCTGTTGCTGTCAACTCTCAAGATGAGATCCAAAGAGCTGTCACTATCAGTGAAGCAAGCCATCATTAGGCTGAAAAAACAAAACAAACCCATCAGAGAGATAGCAAAAACATTAGGTGTGGCCAAAACAACTGTGTGGAACATTCTTAAAAGGAAGGAACGCACCGGTGAGCTCAGCAACACCAAAAGACCCGGAAGACCACGGAAAACAACTGTGGTGGATGACCGAAGAATTCTTTCCCTGGTGAAGAAAACACCCTTCACAACAGTTGGCCAGATCAAGAACACTCTCCAGGAGGTAGGTGTATGTGTGTCAAAGTCAGCAATCAAGAGAAGACTTCACCAGAGTGAATACAGAGGGTTCACCACAAGATGTAAACCATTGGTGAGCCTCAAAAACAGGAAGGCCAGATTAGAGTTTGCCAAACGACATCTAAAAAAGCCTTCACAGTTCTGGAACAACATCCTATGGACAGATGAGACCGAGATCAACTTGTACCAGAGTGATGGGAAGAGAGAGTATGGAGAAGGAAAGGAACTGCTCATGATCCTAAGCATACCATCTCATAGTGAAGCATGGTGGTGGTAGTGTCATGGCGTGGGCATGTATGGCTGCCAATGGAACTGGTTCTCTTGTATTTATTGATGATGTGACTGCTGACAAAAGCAGCAGGATGAATTCTGAAGTGTTTCAGGCAATATCTGCTCATATTCAGCCAAATGCTTCACAACTCATTGGACGCAGCTTCACAGTGCAGATGGACAATGACCCAAATCATACTGCAAAAGCAACCAAAGAGTTTTTTAAGGGAAAGAAGTGGAATGTTATGCAATGGCCAAGTCAATCACCTGACCTGAATCCGATTTCACTTGCTGAAGACAAAA